AAGAGGCAAGTGCTCAAAAGGCAAAGCAAGCCATCTTTAACCTGTCGTTTTCATGCCATCCCGCTGACTGGACACAGGGACTCAGGAAAATATGCAGGAAGGGCCCCGATTGTCACAGGGGAGAGCATCGCTGCCCAACAGTTCCCTGCGTGCTGGACACACTCCTGAAATTCACTGAAGCTGTTTCTCCTCCTATAATACAAGACAAATAATATCTACTTTGTAGAGTTGTTCTGAGAGTTCAAAATATGGTTAGTAAAATGCCTCGCATCCCCCTCCCCACCCCTGCATAGCAGGTGCCTAATCAATGGCAGCTTCTATCATTTTTTTCTCGTTCATTAATTCATTGAACAAATAGTTGCTAAATACCTTCTGCACATCAGGCACTACAGTGGCTGCTGGGACAGACAGTCAATGTAAGTGTTTCTTGCTTTCACAGAGCTTACCACTGAGTGGGGGGTGGGTTAGGACAGTACTGTGTGTTGAGTACTTAGTGTCTCTTTCTGGACTGGTAATAGCAGAGACAACTCTAGGACTTGAGAAGAAGAAAAGCATCGCGTGCAGAAACGTGGCATGGCAGGAAAATGTGAATGAAAAAAATTTGTATGTGTCATGAGCTCACTTACTAAGCAAATATTATTAAGTTTCTAGGATGTCAGTCCATATAGTCTCCCAGCCTACATCCCTTTACTTCTTTTACTTACAAATGATAAGGGTTATAGCTGAAGTTATCTAGAGACATAAGACTCATCGAGGTGACTCAAGCAAAGGTAGTCTTTGTCCCACAGGGAAAGGATGCAGGGTCTTTTTAATATATCAGCAAAGCCCTTGCTCTTTCGTTTTCTTGTTTTATATTCCAGTTAATGAAAGTGTCTCAACATCACTGATGGTGGAAGAGTCCTTTATTTTTTTTAACCTTATTTTTAACCACTTTGCCCACCTTTTGGCCCAACAAACCTAATGAACTGGGATTCCCAAAGTTTGCTGGTAGGTGATGAACCCCGTCACAAAACAAACTGCAAACAAGAAGAAAAGCCCCTGGCCTCTGCCCTTTGGCTGTACGTCTTTTATTTCCAGAGGGCTTAACAAATAACCTGTGTTGACAGGATATCACATCCTTTGTCAAACCGTTTCAAGCCATTTATTGATGAGGAGCCATGCCTTTCAAACTATCCACGTTAGTGAGAGTAGAAGCAGAGTACTAATTTGATCCATAACCCACTTGAGGGTTATGGCATGCTTAATGATGCAAGAAATAGTGATCCATAGGCATCAACCTGCAGCTTAGCCAATATCATTAGCCTGATGAGGAGAAAATGTGCAATGATCCAAGGAAAAGGATGTGGTATGAAATGTACACGAATCTGTGAATGGTCTCCGGTATGGAGCTGGTATTTAATCAAACTGGCTTCTCCTAATTGTTCCTTTGGGAAATTTTGTCTTAGGTGATGGTAGAAGAGAAGGTGGCAGGCACCGTTCTCCACAGCCTTCTAACTTTCTAGTGTCTAGAAGCAGTGGGCAGACTTCTTTCCAATGGTCTCAGAGTTGTTTCTGTTTTCCCTCCTTGCTATACAAGGTCCTTACCCCAAACCTGAAAGTCACGGGTGGAAAGGAAATACAAAGTGACTCCTCATTATCAGATGATTGTGGGCCTTGGGCTAGGAATTTCAGGGCAATATGGTCAATGAGAAAAATTTGAACCTTGCACTGAGTGGGGTTGATTCTCAGATAGTGATAGACATACTGGGTTCAGGCTGGCAAGCTGAAGAGTAGGGAGCCTGGGAATATAGTTCTGCTGCAGTTTTGAAAAAAAAGAAAAAAGAAATACCTACATATGGTGGCTCAGAAGAGACATCCTTTTAGCATTTTTTTAAAATGCCACATTTATTTAAAATTAAGTTGAAATATGCTATGTCCACCAAATTCTAGAAACTTTTTGAACTCAGTCTTCTAGGGGAACAAAAACCATAGGAATTCTAAATTCTTTATCCTCTCCTTGTTGAAGTTAGTGGTGAGTATAAATTGATATTAGAATGGCTCCTGTTGGGAAATTAATTTGGCCTGCTTACCTTAAATGGATTGAGCTGAATAGATTGGAAGATTTGGCCTTGGAAAGTTTTTATAATGGTTATTTTAGTGCATGTTGAGATCTTTGGCTTTTAGTAGATTTTTTTTTTTCTTTTTGCCTGGGACTTCCCTAAATAAATAATTTCATGCTATAGAAATGTCATGCTCTCAAATCTTGTTTCCAGTAATGTATGAGGGGAGGCACGGTGTAAATAAAAATTAATCATTTTTCAACATCTAAGCAGCAGCCTGAATGCCACGTGGGAATGAATTACTGCCTTTGGTCCTGAAGAACATCACATAAATCATTGAAAAATTGATTCTGTTGCTGCAGAGTTGCAGGCTTTTGATAAGGGCCTCCCTTCATCCTGTGTAATCTTCGGGTCATGCACCTGTGGGAAATAAAGAGTTCTGCAAAACGAATGAATCTTTTCCACCAGTTTTATGATCTGCCCACCTCTCTCCAACTTTTTAGTTACCTTCCATTGACCTTTGCTCAGAGAATTTTCTTCCTGTATCCGTGAGGGGGAAAAAACTAATTTTGTTCCAAGTCAAGGATAAGAGCAATAGGAAAGTCAATTTTCCCCTGAAGAAGTGACAGTCTACTGGGTGTCTTTTTAGTAATAAGCAGTAAGGATATCAGATAGGTGCTATAAGAAGCATTGGCCTTAGTATCCTAAGACCTGAGTTTGAATCCTGGATCCAGATAGTTTTAACCTCGGGCAAATGAGGATAAACCAGGTTTTGCTGCAGGAATAGGCAACTCCAAAAATCTCAGTGGCAAAAACAACAGAGACTTCTTTCTTGTGCATGCTGCATTCCATCAGCCTCCTCTGGGGGCTCTGCTCTGCCCTGTCCTCACTTCAAGACACAAGATGCTGGACGATCCTTCTTCTGAAACTTCACTGTTCGTGGTGGCACAGGGAAGGGAAGGTGGCTTCTATAGGCTTCCACCCAAAAGCAACACATGTCTGTCTCCTAATATTTCATTAGCCAAAGCAAGTCATCTGGCCTTATCTCATTTCAATGGGAAGGTGAAGTGCAAACCTCCCCTGTGCCCAGAGCAGTGAAAGCACTGGTGTTCCACCCCTTTAAGCCTCAATTTTCTTACCTACCAATTATATATACTGCGCTTCTCTGAGTGTTGTGATTAATGAAATGTGGGCTCTATCTCTATTGAATAATAACGCATTCAGCTGCTATTATGTGTCACTTACCCTGCTCACAATGCACTGTATTATTTTATATTGTGTTCACGACAACCCTATAACCTAGGTATTATTATCTCCTCTCTACATATGAAACTGATGCTTAGAAACGTGCAGTGACTTTCTCATGAATCAATCAGCAAATAGTGGAGCTATCTATGACTTCAATTTATCCTTGCCAACTGACTCCCCAACCTGCTCTATAGGTTGTTCAAACCTTAGATCATTATGATCTCTGAAGGGAGGTTTACATCATGGAACCACTTTAATAGAGTTGGCATGGCCATATCATGAGATCAATTCAATACTTAAATATCTTAACATCTTGAAATTACCAGAGAACCATTTGCTAAGAACAATGTTACTGCACTGATCCCTAGTCACCTCTCTTCCCACTTCATTCTGTGTTTCCAGGTGCACCTCCTCCTATCCAACTTAGTTGGTGAGCAAGGTGGCAGGAGAGCTAAATATATTCAAAATTTTAGCCGTTCCCCCATGATATCCACATCATTTGTTTAGAGCAGTTTGGCTTAGAACTGCTATTTTGGACTCCATGCCCACCAGTTTCTATCGTATATGCATTATGAGACTGAACACTCCATGAGCAACCATGTGCCATGTTCATCAGGAATCAACAGCAGTTCCCGGCACAAAATAGGGGCTCAGAAAAATATTTCTTGACTGTATAAATGAATGCTGTTATATTTTATCTTTAAAAAGGACAGAGTTAGGGTTTCTATTTTATGGCTCAAGAATAGTTTACAAACCAGTACACCAAAATGGGCTAGGAAATACTAGAATTTTATTCATTGGATATCCAAGTCAGATATTGTTAGAATTCCCAGTAAATCAGCGATCATGTTTACCAGCTAGTCTTCATTCCACTACTGGCTTTGGTCATCATCAAGCCTCAAGAAAGTCCATACCAACTTCACACTTGGAGAGGAATGAGAACGAGCGGTTTAAAGGAGACAAAGTATTTGTCCTTTCTTGCAGTGTGCCAAGAACTGTGGTGGGTATTGGCAATATAGTAATGAACAGAGCAGACGTATTCCCTGTCTCCATGGAGCTTAGAATTTATTTGTGGAGCAAGCACCAAATAGGACACAAAGGAAGACAAAATTGTAAACTTCAGTAAGAGTAGTAAAGGAATGTCCTTCTCTTATCTACCCCCCAAAGCTCCCTTTATATCTGCCCCATCATCATCTTTTGTTTGTCTTAGGGATACATAAGAAAATCTTTTATACTTCTTGAAAAATCCAGTGCAGAGACTGAGTTGCATCCCTGTGCAGTGCCCACTCCCGCATTTTCCCCTTTAAATAATTCATTCACACCTGCACACAAATGAAGGCATCGTATCTTGACATCCAGAATAGCATGGGATTTTCCACCACTGAATGACTGATGTAAAAGCTTCCTCATCTTCAGGGTCTACCAGACCTCCTGTCTCAAACTAGCATTGCCTAAATCTCTAAGAGCAGGAAATCAAATCCTCCTAGTGAGACCTTAGAGTTGAAGTCACCCAAATCACCCTAAAATTTTCATCACATTTTGTTTGAGCCTTTCAACCCCAGGAGAACTTCAGCAAAATACCAATAGAGCAGATTCTAATGCATTCTCTTAGATTGGTGCCTCTGCTTAGTATGAAGGAGAAACCTTTTCAGCCAAGGGGGAAAATAAACAATAAATAGAATCTGAAAGCAGCTGAGAAATGATTGCCTCTGTGAGCACAAGCTGTTAGTGTGTGTGTACGCAGAATACCAATGGCCCAGGCTTCCCCTGGTCTCGCCAAAGAGAAGCTCCACGGGGACTTGTGGGTAATTGATCTCAACACCTCCAGTGAGCACACCTGGGACTGGCCTGCCAGGTAGTGTGATAGACCCACCCCACCTTTCTACTACAGAAGATCCTTATAGCCAAGATTTCCCAAAGCACAGGAAGGGCCATTTTGATGTGGTTCTGTTGCAATCTTCATGTGCACAATGTATTTAGTTTGTAAAGAAGAATATATAGAATTCCTTCAATTTCTATCCCTTCCTGTTTATCTATTCTCTATCTCCAAACTCTATTTCCAGCTGTGGCTACATTGGGTAATTCTACCCCTTTTAATTTGTGGATGGAAACAAGATGAAAAATTCATGAAAAAACTTTGAATTCTGAAATGTTTGCTACATGTCTTAGGTTTGATTATGAGGGAGAGAAAACTGTATACCTAGCTCTGTGGTCTGTAAGAGTCCAGATATATAAAAGGAGCCACTTTGTTTCATGTAGAAGATCTAAAACAAACAAAACCACACACACACACACACACACACACACACACACACACACACACACACATACATTAAACTTCTTATCTCAGAAAGGAAAGATAACATATTCCAGTCCTATCACATGTTAGACTACGTCATAATAGGGTTTGAAAGGAACCCAAAGTTAACATCTCAGTCTCTTCTCTACTAGAAATGTGAGCTCATACTACCTTTCCTCCAGTAACTGTGGATATAACTGATATAAATTTAATGTTTTTGAACAAGAGAGAAGGCTTCTAAAGATAGTTCATTTATTTTGGTCTTTGCTGCTTGCCTTTGTGTCTGATCAGCCTAGATCAATCGGGGTAGTTTGGAAGCCCACAGGACAAAAGGGTGTTAAAATTGATCTGGTCAGGTTGGTCAAGAAGCTGTGAGTTGTGCATTCTGTAGCTGGGATGGGTTTTCAGTCAGCTCTGCACATCCTTGACCTGGTCCTTCCTTACGGGTTTTTTCCTTGAGAAGCCAGCTTCCAGAATTAGATGAACAGGTTGTGGGGGATAACTCACATTTGTCTATGAGGAGGAATGAGAAAGAGAAAAGAGAAAGAGAGGAAGAAAGAAAGAAAATGAAACCTCTGTTTCCTTTGTTGGGCTAAGGAAATGAGTTATTGTTGATGTGTAAATGTTAGTTGGGTGGCAATATATTAAAGCGTTCTTTTTTTTTTTTTAAGTGTTCCGATAGAAGCTGTCAACACCCTAGTTTAAATTAGTCCATTGAATTTATTATCAGCTTTCTCAGATGTGAGACATAGGACACGTGGATTTTGGTAGGAAAGCTTGTTGGAAAAGGTGCTAAATGCCATCCACTAGGGCTTAATGTAGTGAGAGGGTCCCTGGGCAGCCAGCAGTGAGCATGAAGGTATTGAATGCCTATGAAAAGATTAATAGAAGAAGACACATGGTCAGGGGGAAATTAGAGCTCATTTACTCTGAGTGCTAACCTACATGATTTGCTATATTCCAAGTAGAATGACTGTTGCCTGTTTCTAAAAATCAAAATCTAAATAAAATAAGGATTTACTCTACTGATGATACTCAGTGACCAGCCAAACTGTCACAAAAGTGGGTCAAGAGAAAGAATGGTTCTCTTGTGGGTATTAAGATTGAGAAAAGGGTGGAGGAAGGAGTGGGAAGGAGCCCTTACAACAGCGTGGAAGGAAATGGCTATTCAAACAAGGCAATAGATAGGGGGTAGATAGATAGATCTCACCCTTGAGTGGATCTTGATGTCAGGATGGGGTAGGAGGAGCCGTTGCAGACACGAAAGATCCAAATCTTAGGTTTTTCAGCAGCCAACTGTTTGTAAGGGAAGGGCTGCCTCATCTCCATCCTTGGAAACGTTCCAGTTCAGAACCTCAGCCAGAAGTATCATAAACAGGATTTCTCTCATTAGTTGAAAAGGTAAATTATATGACCTCCAAGGTCCATTTCAACACTTAGGGGCCCAGACATCTAAGTTAGAGACTGCCTCTGGACTCTATTAAATCATCATATTAGTACCTTATGTCTGTCTCATTGGCCCAGAACCCTTGGAAGGAGGTCTCCTTGCAGTACTTCTCAATTTATAAGAATTTATCTGTAGGGGCGCCTGGGTGGCTCAGTTGTTAAGCATCTGCCTTCGGCTCAGGTCATGGTCTCAGGGTCCTGGGATCGAGCCCCGCATTGGGCTCCCTGCTCGGCAGGAAGCCTGCTTCTCCCTCTCCCACTCCCCCTGCTTGTGTTCCCTCTCTCGCTGTCTCTCTCTCTCTCTCTCTCTCTGTCAAATAAATAAATAAATCTTTAAAAAAAAAATTTATCTGTGGAACTGAGCCAAACTCTCAACAAAATAGATTAGAGTAGCATTGTTTCCATTTCTTTTTCTTTCTGGTTCAATTACAGCCACTGGGGACATCGTCTGGAAGTTTGATTTTATATTGAAAAGATCAAAGCCCTTAAAATACACTTTTAACTGAGTCCAGAACCCCAAACTGGGTCTTGGGTGGAAAGGGAGGAAGAGGTGATGGTAGGAGCCTTGGTGCAAAAGACCATATTTCCAAGTTCTAGGACCAGTGTGACCCAGAGAATCTAAGAAGGAAATGTGGATGGCAGTTACTTTATTTCGTTTTGATGTCTGAAAGGCAAGTGGGTTCCCATGCATCGAGAAGTGCTTTGTTCTTGCTCTTGACACACCCGCTCTCCCCGACAGGGGCTAGAACCCACCCCAGCGACCTGCTCAATGAATGAGGGAAAAAATTGCTGAGCATTGCATCTGACATTGGAGATGTCAGCCTTGCAGGCAGTCACGAAGGCTGGAGGTTGTAATTTGAACAAAATGTCACTGTTTATAGAGATTTTTTTTTTAATGCACTTTTTCTGTGATGATAAATCACAGGCCTGCGCAGGGGATAATAACACAAAATGTTTGACAGCTTTTCTTACAATTGTTTGGCATTCTGTTTGCCTAATTATTGTCAGCATCACCCACACTGGTAAATTGTTGTTGAAGAGAGCTCAGTGGTGACTGTCAGAGTGTGCATCTGCCATTCTGCTCCTGTCACTGGGGTTAGCTTTTGCACATCACCGGTCTTTGCTATGTGAAAGGGTTAATTAACCTTGGAGTCCTGTGTCCATGTGCGGATGTGGTTCTACCGTCCCACCAGATAGGAGGACAAAGCAGAAAAAGTTGATGGAGAATTTCCACAAGGTCTTATTTTAAAAAAGGATAATTCAGTTCAGTTACATTCTTTGACACACTGAGGGAAGTGCAGAGAAATCACTTGCCTTATGGGTATGGATTGAGAAATTATCTATTTATGTAATCACCCTGCTTTGAAAGGGAAGGGAATTAATTGCTTTAATTAACTCCAGTAAAAACTAGATTGTCGCAGGGGGAGTGTTGACATAATGTGCTTGGCCATGATCTGATATGCTCTTGGAAATAGTGGCTATCTCTCTAATCATTTTTCTTTCTCTGGGACCTCACTTGATGATGTTCCTGCCATAAACTAAGGCTTCCTATGAGGAGGATCCAAAAAAAAAAAAAAAAAAAGAAGGAAAGAAAGGTCACAGAAAGGGTGGTAAAGAGCTCATTTCCATAATTGTCATTGATTCGTTGATTTTTTTTTTTTTAACCAGGAGTTTCGTTATTATTTCTTACTTTTCCTCTGACTTTGGCCCATCTAACTCTCCCCCAGGAGCTGATGACAAGTGAATGGGACATAATGAGTCAAATGCCATCACTGTTTAGGAGCTGCATGAAGGGAACTTGTTTAAAAGACATTCCCCTGCAGTATATCTAAAAAGGTTTTCTGAAATACATGAAAGAGTGTGGGTGTGTTAGGAAGCCTCCATAGTACACCAGCGTTCATTTAAAATGAGCTAAGTTTGGGGCACCTGGGTGGCTCAGTCGGTTAAGCAGCAGACTCTTGATTTCGGCTCAGGTCATGATCTCAGGGTCCTGGGATGGAGCCCCTGGGGCTCCCTTCACAGCAGGGAGTCTGCTTCTCTTCCTCTCTCTATGCCCCTCCCCCCACTCATGTGCTCTCTCTAAAATAAGTAAATCTTTAAAAAATAATAAAATAAAATGAGCTAAGATCTGCAAGCAGTTTTCACCATGCCTTTAGCTAAAATGCAACTAGAAAGATTATAACAGACTATAAGATTTAGGCTGAGAACTATGAATATGTTCTATGCCCACATATATATAAATTATATGAACACATATATACATATACACATACATATAAGTAATGTATTTTTTTATTGGTGGACTCAGTCCCATTTTTGGGCAGGTGGAGCTGCAGAGATGGTCAGGCTGGACTTTCGACGGGCTCATCTACTGTTCTAAATTGTGGCAGTATTTTCCCTCCACCCCTCCCCATTGCTACCCCCAACTACAGAGAGGGCAACACCAGAGTGTGGTGTGACAGGCCGTCCCGTCTCAGGTCGCATGTTGGAGGAACAGACCCAGCGTTCCCAACCCTGTGGTTGCAGGAAGTGCCTTTGGCCTCACTGATGCAGTAGGTCTGGGTGTGTTCTGGAGAAAGCCCAGCTCAGGACTGAAGACAGGCTCTCTGGCTTCTCTACAGACTATATGTTTCCCCGACTGCTTGGCTTAAGCATGAGGAAGCTTTGAGTGTGTCAAAAACAAAAATAAAAAACAACAAAAAAAAACTTATCAAGCTCATGTATAGAACAAAAATGTGCCCAAGAGGGAATGTATAATTTAATAAAGAAGAAACAAGAATACTACATAGATCCAATAAAAGACTATAGATGGTAAAAACAGAATTATTTCCATTAAAGAGCATTTGAAACAAGGGTTGTCTTTTACGTTCACTTGGGCATTTTTGTCCTATAAATGCATGCACACGTAGAGGGCTGTGTCATAACCATTGTGTATTCTCAAACTCAGGAAAGCGTATCTGGACCAGTGAGCCTTGGTTT